GGAGGGCCTGGGTGGCTTGGCTTGCCGAACAGCAGAGGGAGTTGTTCTGGCTGCTGTGGAGGTCGGCACCCAGACCAAACAAGAGATCCTGCACCGAGGGCGAGAGGCCAGGAACGCTGAACTGCTTCGCCTGTAGGTGACAGGGACACTAAAGGAGGGAGTGTCCCTCCTGGGAGGGGGCAGAGAGGCCCCACCCAGAAAAGGCACCCCTTGTGAGAGTAACAGGGGGGCCCCCAGCTTGTTGGGTCTGTGGGGAGCCAGGGCACCTGAAGAGAGAGTGCCCCTACAGGACTCCCAAGGCCCGGGCCAGCCCAGAAGGAAGGGCTAGGGCCCAAACAAGCAGGAGTAGGGATGTGTAGGGGGAAGACCCAGAAAGTGCTTCCACTGCCACCAAGTGGGACATTTAAAGAGGCACTGCCCCCTGAGGCAGAAAGGGGGAGTGTCCGAGACAAGGGCTCGGTCAGAGACCAGCCACAGAGAAGAGGTGGTGAAGACGGAGGCCCCTAGAGAGAAAGGAGCTGGGGCAGAGAGGCCCCACCGAAATGAGGGAACCCATATAGGAGCCAGGAGGGCCCATGTGGGAACCCAAAGAGAAGTAAGAACCCACGTAGGACCAGGGCGTTCTACAGTGGGAACCCAGACCCTACAGGTGGGAAGCAGCTGGCTCCAGACTCTGGAGGGCCTGCGAGAGGAAAGGGATGCCCTGCAGGCACCACTACGAAGGAAGCTGGGGTGACAAGGACCCCTTTCCTCCCCTCCCCCGTGAGCATTTTTTAAGGGGGAGGGTTTGTGGTGGGGACGGCTGCCCCACCCCCATGTGAGAGGGAACTAGAGTAGGCCAGAATGGCTGTGCAAGCCGTCAGCCAATCAGGGAAGGGCCTACTGAGAGCCAATCAGGGCCGAGATTAGAGCCAGCCAATCAGGGCTAGGCTAGGCCCTATATAATGGCTGTCCAGGAGAGCAGCAGGTAGTCTCCCCCAGAATTTCATGGGGGAAGGTCTGTCTCCAGAGCAGGAGACCAGCATCTCGGACTGGGCAGTACTGCGTCTGGCCATCCGGCGGCCGACACAAATTGTAACCGGCCCTTGAGACAAGGGGCTAGACTTTGGGGGTTGCGGTCGGCCACCAAGGCAGGTGCAAGGACTGTTGCTAACCCCCGCCACTGGAATGGGGTGAGGATGGACTAGTGGGCACTGCTGGAGGGGCAGTGGCCTGAAGGGCAGTGTCAAGCAGTGAGCAACGCGGCTCCAGATGCCAACGGAGGACAAGAGACGGATAGGACGCTGCCAGCAGAGGGCGTTCCCTATGGACTGAGTTAATTCCTGGAGTGACCAGTGGGAGGCGCCATGGTGGTGAGTCCCAACCCTGTCAAAACCACCCAGCCCTATTGTGGGCCTACTGCTACCCTGCAGACTCTGGTCCGGACCAGACTGGGCCAGCGGGAGTGGTCTCCCTCGGAGTGGGAGAGCTAGTGGAAGGGGAAATGGAGCCCCCTGGCACTCACAGAAACTCTCTCCCACTCTGTGGAGCAGGGTTCTTCCCTCTGCCCCCCAAATTCCTTCATATGGGGCAGGAGCTCTTTCCTTTGCACTCACTCCCCTCTGTCTCCCCCCCCCTCATTCCCGCT